ACTGAGAAAGTACACAGTCTGGGACCTCTCCAAATTATTAACGATCAGCGATGTCCGTTTGAGGGCTAAGGTGTGCCTGGTTCAGGTCTTGATCTGTTTAGTCACTTGCTATGCATTGGGGAGCTGAACAATGAATTGATGCCTTTGAATTGTTGATGTGGAGAAGAGTACTGAATATCCCACGGACTGCCAAAAGAATAAACAGATACATCTCGGAGGAAGTGCAACCAAAGTGCTCCTTGAAGGCAAAGATGATAAAGCTTTATCTCAAATACTTTGCGCATGTTGCTAAGGAGAACATATCCCTTAGAGAGAGGCATTATGCTTGGGAAGGTAGAGGGACAGTGAAGGAGAGGAAGACCCTCAACCAGGTAGAGTGACATAATGACTGCAGCATAGGGCTCAAATGTGTCAGAGCTTGTGAGACTGACACAGGATAGTACAGGATTCAGATCTGTTTTCACAGGGTCACTACAAGTCAACTTAACTTGATGGCATATAACAAAACATACTATTTAACATATTGTTGTATACCATCAAGTTAGAACCAACTCACTGCTGATCCTTCAGCAGGTTTCCAGAGGTTATAAATGACAAGAGAGGAGAAGCTGGTGGATTTGGAACATTCGCATTTGGGTTGGTAGTGCAATTCCTTACCCACTAGGCCACTAGAGCTCCCAATGAGTACATTATTTTCAATAATTAGTATCCTAATATGCATCATCATTGTTCTTTCTGAACTAAACTCCTGTTTCCACTCAATATTTACCCTACTCTGCTAGATAATTCATTCCTCCACTGTCAATGTTTCTCTTCTAAAACCAGATTCTTTTTCACAAAGCCAGATTCAATGTCAGACTTAACTAAATTAAAAGGGAAGGACAAAGAAATCTGTCTCTAACAGAGTATTCTCACCTGCTTTCTCTGACTTGTCCAGTCTTCTACTAAAGACCTTCTCTATTTATTCAAATTTAATTATGCGTGTCCTCTGCAAGCTTGTCTTGATATTTCAATTTGCTTTCATTTTCCACTCAGTCCAAATTGAGTAAGTAAGGGCTTCAGCTTTGGTTTGGGAGCCTCCCAGAGTTTTCTCCACAACCTATTTGTCTTTTCCTAAGTCCCCTGTTCCACTCTGTTTATTTAGTTTTAATCAACTCAGTGTACAGAAAACTTGCGCAGACAGTACGGAGTGTTCCTTTTGCCTCGTCCTTCACACTGCTTCTTCTATTTAACATTGTGCATTCCTGCTTCCAATCCTTTTTAAAAAAATTTAAAAAAATTTTTTTTTATTCTGGAGGCCATAAGTCTGTCTACTTCTTCACATTTTGTTCCTTCTTGTCTTTTCAAATTCTTCAGGCAAAATTTAGATGTTCTAATCCCTTCATCTACTCTGGTCAAACCAGTTTCACTTAAGAACACAGAGGCAGAGGGAGCTCTGGTGGCCTAGTGGCAAGAAGCTGCACTGCAATCTCGAAGGTGCAGAGTTTGAATCCACCAGATGCTTGGCTGGCACAGGAAGGGCAATCTCCTCCTGTGTCATTTGGATCCAATTCAATGGTGCACAAAAAAAACCAGGGGGGGGGGAACCCACAACACAAAACCCACAGTGGTAGAAAGTTCCTTAGCTTAATTAATTTGAGAAATCTTTAGGGGTACTGGGGTAGGTCAGGGGACATGCCAGTATGCAAGTAGCATGTCATCTTATAAGACGACAAGCCTAGACAATACTGTCTCATATTTCATCATGCTTTTAAAGTCCCACCAGATATTTTGATTATCTGGTCTCTTATCTACATTATACACAACTAATGTTTTCAGCGTCCTTTTTTTTTTTTAACTATTAGATTTTCTAAGAATCTTTTTTTGGGCATGGATTTTGTGGTATAGTCAGGATTTAACCATGATGCTTTTCACCATTTTCGAAAACTCACGCTGCCAAGCGCAAGCTTTGCAGTTTCTTGAAGAACCGATGTAACACCCCTGGTGCAGCTGTAGCCTTTGCATTCAGTCAGGAAGCCAAGTCAATGAAGTACTTTGGGTTTCCTACTTGGCCACATGCTTTTACCTTTCTAATTTGAACTCTGTATTACTTTATTATTCTGTGTGTATGCGTGTATACCATCAAATCAGATCTGACTGGTACAGGAGGATATTGTCCCACCTTCTCGAGCAGAGCATCTGGTGGATTCGAACCACACACCTCTGGGATTTCAGTGCAGCTTCTTGTCACTAGGCCACCAGAGCTCACCTATTTTATTATTCTTAAAGATGCCTCTCCTTTATATTACAGCTAGAAGCCACCTTTTTAAAAAAATTTAAGTGTGTAAACAACTTATGTTATGTTTTTTCATCACAAAAGTGTTTTTTAAAAGGTCTGCTCAGGGTATATAAAGAAAGGATTTTTACATTGGTTAAACATAGCTCAATGAATAATCAGGGCAAGAGATACAAGTTTAACTTCAGAAAGGTATCATCACATTCGCATTTGGTACAACAAATAGATCATTCCAAGAGTTCCCTTTTGATTTTCAAGTGACTGCTGCCAGTCACTAGGACCACGCCACACACAATCTCATTTATCACTTTCAAGGATTCTAAGCTTGTCTGTATCCTAAGTTATTTTATAAAGACCCCCCAAAATAGTGTGTAATATAGACAAGAGCTATAGTCTAGGGCTTAGCTAATTACATGTTAAGTTTTTAATCTTCTTGAATGGTGAGGCCAAAAGTGCAAATAACAGGTATAGATAGTAAAGGTAAAATTTATCGTATTGTTAACAATTTAAATAGAAATCTCACCTACACGATCTCATCTGATGCTCTAATGAGTCCTGTGTTGTTGGGTGCCATCAAGTCAGTTCACAGTTCATAGTGTTTTGTTCTGCATGACAGAACACAACACTGCCTGGTCCTGTACCACGCTCACTATTGATGTTGTATTTGAATCCATAATTGCAGCCACTTTATCAGTCCCTTTCATTAAATGTCTTTCTTTTTTCATTGTCCTCTACTTTATCAAGTAAAGCTTCACTCTTAGAGTGATCTGCTTGTACTAAATAGTCCTTCATGGACTGGTCCCTCTCACTTGCCCAAATTATGACAAATAAAGTCTTGCTTTCTCACTTCTCAGGAGCCTTTTCATAGTACTTACTTCAAGTTAGAATTCTTCATTCTTCATTCTGCACTTTATGGTGTATACAATACCAACATCATAATCCAAAGGCATCAATTCACATACATATGATGCAACTGAAAATGCCAAGCCAGGTTTGGGCTGTCCTCAATGTGACATCTTTGATTTTTAAAATTTTATAAAGGTCTTATGTAACAGATTTTTTCCTGATTAAAAGAAAAAAATCACAAAACAATCATTTGATTTCTTGACTGTAGCTTCCATATGCATTGATTGTGGGTCCAATCAAAATGAAATCATTAACAACTTCCATTTTTTGCCTTTTATCACTATGCTACCTATGGGTCCAGTATGAGGATTTTTGCTTTTTTGATGGTTAGGTATAATCCATACTGAAAGTTGCAGTCTTTGATCTTCATCAGTAAGTGTTTAAAGACCTCTTTACTTTTAGCAAGCCAGATTATGTCATTTGTATATCACGCATAGTTGAGTCTTCCTCCAATTTTGGTGCTAGTCTTCTTCATCTAGTTTCTCTTTGTTTAAGTATTCCCATTATTTATGATGTATCCATAATTTGACATGATCCACACAGCTAAATGTCTTTACATGGTCAAAACATTATCTGGTATTGACTTGTTTCAGCTAAGATTCAGCTAATATCAGCATTGAGATTCCTTGTTCCACATCCTCTTCCGGACCCATCGTGAATTTCTGGCAGTTCTCTGTTTTAGCAGCACTGTGGATAATGCTATAAATAGACAAAAGAACACTTCACTTGTTATATTTCTGACAGTTACTTCCAAGACAAGCTATTCTGACAGAACCTAAGTTATCATGATAGATTGAGAAAAGACTGACATTGTCACAGATTTCACCTTCCTGGAACCCAGTCAACACCTTTGGGACTAGCAGTTAAGGAGGTGTTTCTGGGGTTTGTTTTTTTTTAAAGTGTTTCAATGGGAAGGTCTGCTGTCAGAGACTTCTCCAAAGTACTGAGGAGAAATGAGGTCAGTTTAATGACTAAGGTTCGCCTGATTCAGGTCATACTTAGTCTTTTTCCATCACCAGCTATGCATCTGAGAGCTGGACACCAAATAAAGATGACAGAAGAATCAAGATCTTCAATCTATGGTATGGAAAAGAATATTTAATATCCCATGGACTGCCAAAAGAATACAGACACGTCTTGGAGAAAGTGCAGCCAGAGTGCTCTTTGGAGCAAGAGTGACGAAGCTTTCGCTCTCATAATTTTGGGCATGGTTTTAGAAGTGGCTATTCCTTGGAAAGGGGCATCATGCTTGGAAAATGGAAAGAGAGATAGACTTAACGAGGTAGACTTGCAGTAACAGCCGCAATTAATTTGACTATGTCAAAGATGATAAGGATAGCACAAGGTAGACAGGGTCACTATGAGTTGTATTCGACTCGACGTCACGTAACAACTATAGGACAAGGTAAAAGTACTTCACAGGACTTCCAAAGCCTCACAGGGAAGTAGAGTAGCTGGTGGCTTTGAACTGCCAACTTTAAGGTTAGCACCTGAACTACTTCACCCATGCACCCGCAAAGGTCCTAGGCTTACTTAACGGTAGCCTTCTCATTGATTAGGAATGGGTCCAAAAAAAGTTACATGACTTACCCACATTTCTGAGAAATCAAAATGTTTTGAAGCAGGGATGTACAAAATATACAGGGTAGTTTATTCTATTACATTAGCCTTCAAAGCGTAAACTTTAAATCAGAAAAACTATGAGAGCACCCCGGATGCAAGCCTGGCCACGCCCTCCAGGGCTGTCCGCGGCGAAGCCTGACCGGCGGCCGCGCAAGGGACCTTGCGGGGTCCTTCGCGCGGGCTCCCGACGCAGTGCCTGAGCGGGTGCGCAGGCGGCTTCCGGTGTTGGTGACGAGTAGTGGCCGAAACTTGGACGTCAGGGGACATTCGGGCAGAAACCATGGCGGACGGCGGCTCGGAGCGGGCTGATGGACGCATCGTGAAGATGGAGGTGGACTACAGCGCCACCGTCGATCAGCGTCTGCCCGAGTGCGAGAAGCTGGCCAAGGTGAGGCGAGGCCGCCTGGCTGTTGGCGGGCGCCAGGGGCTGAGTCACGGCGCGGAGCCCGCTTAGGCCTCAGGGGGCCTGCGGGTTGGAGCGCGCATCCCCCTGTTGCCCTGGGCTAGCCAGCATGAATAGGGGACCCTCAGGTCTTCTGCGCCGGGTAGAGTGCAGCCTGGTACATAACTTCCCAAACCCTCCCCAGGACAGGTGGTCATTTCTTCCTCGTAGGACTTAAGGGTCCCATAGCAGTTGATGCCTTTTTTTTTGGGGGGGGGGGGGGAGAATCCTGCTTAAGTGTTTTCTCCGGGGGTTAAGGCCGCTCCAGCTTTTAGACGAGATCGGAGCGTTTAGTCGCATTGCTCTTGCTGAATCAGTTGATGATGATAAGTTGTTTGAAGATCGTGGCAATGTGCCAGAAGGGAGAAGGGACTGGAGAGTGATGATACAAAGATGAATCGCATAGGGCCCCTGTAGGAGTTCATCCACAAAAGAAACGAGTCAAGTCGTGCGAGATGGTGAGTGCCTAGGCTGTACAGACAGCTGTTGGAAGACAGAGAAGGAAAGATCATCGTCCTTGTGAATAAAGGAAGGCTTTACAGAGAGCTTAGGGTTCCATTGGGCCTTGAAGAATGAGTGCGATTGGGGTACAGGCCAGTTAGTTATTCTCAGTTGAGAGAAATTTTTGGCCCGCTAATGAGGACTTTTGTTTTCTTGATGTTAAGATGTAACCCATATTGAAGACTATAGTTTGTGCCATCTACATAATGCAGCTTGTTCATGAGTCTTCCTCCACTTTTTTTATTATTATTAAATTTTATTCGTTTTAATGAACATTTACAGAGATTTTGGGTTTTCATTCATTCATTGTTGCACTGTTTTCTCCACCCTCCTCCCCAGTTCATTCTTCTCCCCCCCCCATGTCTGTTTTAATTGTCCAATTGCCACAGTGCTTGTCAAAGCCAGTTCTGATTAATCTCCTTTGTCAGTGTGTCCCTTGCCATTTCCTATCACTCCTCCCTGAGAGAGACTTCACCCTGATTCATAAGGAAAAGGGGATGGCGTACTCTCTTAGCTACTTCCTGCTGAAAAGGGACGCTGTGGGTTTCAGGGTGAAGGTCTTCTCTCACTTCTTCCTCCATTCTTGATGCCATATTAGTCCAACTTCTCGACTGATTTGTTCAGCACACAGATTGACTAGGTGTAGAGAAAGGATACAACCCTGATGCGCATCTTTCCAGTGTTCCCTCGCTCTGTTTGTATCATAGCTTCTTAGTCCAGGTTTCACATGACCACAAATAAGTGTTCTGGGATTCCCATTCTTCTCAATGTGAGCCATAATTTATTGTGATCCACACAGTCAGATGACTTTGCATAGTTAATGAAACACAAATAGACATCTTTCTGATATTCAGTGCATTCAGCCAAGATCAGTGCAGCATCAGCAGTGATAACCTTTGTAGCATGGCTTCTAAACCCAACTTGAGCGTTTGGCAGTTCTTTGTTGATGTACTGTGTGAGCCATTTTTTAATAATCTTCAGCAAGATTTTACTTGCATGTGATATTAATGATTTTGTTTGGGATTTCTGTTGGATCACCTTTTTTTGGGAATGGGAACAAATACGGATCTCCTTCCAGGTAGCTGTCCTCCCAGATTTTCGGGTATAGCTTGGCAAGCACTTTTGGGACTGCATGTATGTGTTTATTGAAACATGTCAATTGATAGCTCATCAATTCCTGGGACTTTTTTTTTTAATTAATGCTTTCAGTGCAGCTTGAACTTCTTCATCACTATTGATTTTTGATCATATTCTACTTCTTGAGATGGTTCTGTGTCCACTAGTTCTTTTTGGTACAGTGCTTCATTGTGATCCTTCATCATCTTTTGATGCTTTCTGGATTATTCAAGATTTTGCCCTTGGCATCCTTCATTATTGTAACTAGACGCTTTAGGGACAGCGCAGGAGGGGAAGGCCCTCTATGAGGTGGATTGATTCAGTGACTGGGATAATTGGGATGGGAGTGTCAGAGACAGTGCGATTGGCACAGGACAGAGCGGAGTTTAGGGCTGTTGTACATAGGGTCACTATGAGTCGCAAGCTACTCGACGGCACATAACAACAACAGTTCTTTTAGCTTGAGAAATGCTGAATGAGTGGTGAGTATTAAATAAACCTATACTGACATCCTTGCTTGCATGTTAGCAATTTGAAGAGATCTTTGATGACAGATTTGCCTGGTAAAATACACCTTTTGATTTTTTTTAAATTGTGTGTGTGTGTGTGTGTGTGTGTACCATCAAATCAGATCTGACTGGTACAGGAGGAGATTGCCCCTCCTTCTCCAGCAGAGCATCTGGTGGACTCAAACAACTTACCTCTGAGATTGCAGTGCAGCTTCTTGCCACTAGGCCATCAGAGCTCCTTACCTTTTAATTTCTTGACTGCTATTTATGTAATGTTGTCATGACATCAAGTAAAATGATGTCATTGACTTCATTGTTTCTGCATTTGTCATGGTGCTATTTCTTGGTATCCTCTTGTGAGGATTTTTGTTTTCTTTTGGTATAAAGGGAAAGTGAAATGTGGACTCAATTAGGAAAAAAATGCAATGACTTGAGAATTGTATTTAATGAAATAGGCGTTGGGGGAGGTGAAGATGGCAGCGGTGGGGGTGGCGGCAGTTGTTAGGCGCCCTTGAGTCAACTCCGACTCATCGCAAATGTGAAGCTCGCCCTATGCCGCACCGTCCTCAAGATCTCTGTCGTGTCCCGTACACTGTGGTAGTTGCTGTGTGTGTCCATCTCATTGAGGGTGATGGGAGTTGACTGCCAAAAGAAGGAACAAATCTGCACTAAAGGAAGTGCAGCTAGTGTGCGCACTTCAGCTCACTTTGGGCATGTTTTCAGGAGGAACTGAGCTTAGAGAGAGACATCATGCTGGGAAAGGGAGTAGGTCAGCGAAAGAGAGGAAGACTCAATGAGATGGGTTGGGGGTGGGTCTCAGTGACTACCATAGTGGACTTGAGCATGACAAAGTGGTAGGATGTTGCAGGATAGGACAACGTTCAGATTTGTTGTTCACAGAGTTGCTATGAGTTATAATCAACTTGACAGAACCTAACAATAACAAGCTTATTATGATAGCAAGTCAGGAATGAGAAATTATTAAATTCTGTTGTCAACTGAATAGAGACAGTTTAGATTCGTTCAACAGGTGCTACGTATATGTTGGTGTAAAGGAAATAGCAATCAAACAAGAATTGGGCCTAAAGTATACCAGCTGGGAGGCAAGACAGGCAGATTATGCTATTAGGTATAAAGACATGTACTGTAGGTAGAGCACTGAGCTACAGGATTGTGCCATGGTCCCTGGCCTTCCACAGTGTATAGTCTGATGAAATTATGAAGACAGCATTAAAATAGGGCATTGTTTAGGGTGGTTACAAAACAGAAAGGCAATAGTGTTGAGTGAGTGCTTTGTGACTACTAACTTTAGAACGGGCAAGTGAGAGAGCTCTGGTGGCCTGGTGGCAAGAAGCTGCACTCCAATCCCAGAGGTATGCAGTTTGAATCCACCAGATGCTGTGCTGGTGAAGGAGGGGCAAGCTCCTCCTGTACCAGTCAGATCCGATTTGATGGCGCACACACACACACAAAAATAATAAAATAAATTTTTTAAAAAACAACCCAATAAACGGCAAGTGGCCACAACCCGCTGTCTGCAGAGATGGCATTTAGTGTCTTGCAGATACCCTGCAGACCTTGGTCTGCAGCTGTGTGTGATTTCTTCCCACAGAGGATTCAGTTCTCTAGAACCTTACTTCTGAATCAAACCCATACGATTGTCTCTGAATTGAGTCTGACTCCTAGTAACTCTGAATCAAAATGCCGTGTTACAGTAAGCCACATTGTTGATTAGTCCCATGACTTAGTTGTAAGAGGGACAAGATGCTTTGATTATAATCCCAAGTGACCATCAATAAGCAGTATTTTGCATTTTAACTAGATTTGCACTTTTTGCTACCATAGTCACCATTCACTATGAAATGACTAATCAAGCAGAGGCCACATGTAGTAACGAGAGTACCTGGTGGGACAGAACAGTGGCCCAGGAAGCCAGGGGCTCTGCGTGGCTGGTTGGTTTTAAGCCCGAGTGAGTAATTTTATTGCCTTGGTCCATCTTTAATCTCTAAACCATTATGAGTGAATTCATAATCTCCTCACAATTCTAGTTCTAAGTTTTATTACCTTTAACTTTGGAGAATTTTTGGATTTGCTGTTTTTCCCATGGGCATTTTGCCTATATGTATTATAGACATGAGTCTCTGAACCTTTCAGAGTCATAGGCTTTTTTTACATAGGAAGTGTTGTTAAAATTGTAATGTTACACACATTTCGGAGGTAACTGACATCTGTTACACCACCCCACTCACCTCCCCCACCCCCATGTGTGTGATTTTCTCTCTCTCCCTTAGAGCAAATTGCCCATCTTTCTCCTGAGGAGCAGCTGGCCACTGGAGCGCCCAGAGTTAGATTATTTGATTCTGACTGAAATAGATTCAAGTGTACTTGGCTATACAGTACATACGTAGTGCAAAATAAATAATAATTTAGAAAGTATATCCATCCTGGAATATATGATTAGGCATTATATGTATGACAGCAGTCTGCAACAAGGGCTGCATTGTGGATTGGGTTAGGGGAAAGGGGAGAAAATGTTCAATGAAAAAAAAGAAACAATTTTTAAAATTATAGCCATCTTTATTTCAAATGCTATTTAGGTTCTTCATCAGTAGAAGAAGTTATTACTAGTGTCATCCAGGAATGTCACCAAAATAAAATGTTCTTTGGTGGTGAAAAATTCAATTTCTACATAAACCATTCCTTAACGTTACCAATTCTTCCATTGTCAGATATGTACAGGTGATAGTTACTCATTTTAGTATCTTAAGTAAATGTTAGTTTCATATGTGAGTTGTATTTGACTTTTATCAAAATATGTCTTTCTTTATAGGATGACTTAGTCTTGGCATTCTTTCATTTAGGTTTTATAGTACTTGAATTCTGTTATTCCCATTTCTTATTTATGTCCCAGGGTGAGTATTTCACTTATGTATATGAGATAAAAGTGTGGCAAGGTGCTTGTTGTTGCTGTATACCATCAAGTCGACTGTGACTGATCGCAACCCTGTGGACAGCAGGTCTGAGCCTTGCCCTGTCCCTGTAATCTGTGTCGTTCACAAACCTCTTGTGATAGTCACGGTGTCAGTCCATCCCATTGAGAGCCTTCTTCTCTTTCACCAGCCCTCCTCTACCTTTCCTATATTCTCTCTCGAAGGACTGATTTCTCCTGAAAGTAGGTCCAAGTTATGTGAGGTGAAGTTTCACCATCCTTGCCTCTGAGCCCAGTGGTTGCACTTCCTTCAAGACAGATTTGAAAATAAAAAGAGACAGATTTCTTTGTTCTTTTAGCAATCTACAGGATATTCCATAATCTTCAACATCACAGTTCAAAGACATTGAATCTTCTTCCCTATTCATTGTCTCCTTCAAATGCATAGGAAGCAATTGAAAATGTGCGAAAGAGAGGTTACTTATCACTTAATGTGAGAGAAAATTATTTGGTCTAAGTTTTGGTTGTTTTTTTTAAGTTGTTGGAAAATTAAACAGTTCTCTTTTTACCACTGGATAACATTTTTGTTATGATACAGAGAAATATTTTTTTTATTTCTCATTGTTATTCTTCAAAGACACATGTGATTTGTGTTGAGAACAGATTAAACACTCAATTGATAAATTTTAATTCCAAAGACTTGTATAACCACTATTGCTGTGTATTCTGTTTTTATTGACCATTTAAAAATGTTAAAGATAAGTTGAGGGCTCCATATTGGGGTCCCTAACTTGTGGGGGTAGAGAAATACTATTTTCACTATTGTGAAAAGAAGGACAACAAAACAAAATCTTTATGGGGTGGTGCTTTCTCAGAATAGGTTGCTGGTGTTTCCCTTTCTGGGTGAGAAATAGCTCTTTGACTGCTTACTTAGTTTGTTTTGGAGTTGCTGTTTTTATTGTTCATATTTTATCTTGTGTTTTAGGAAGGCAGACTTCAAGAAGTTATTGAAACACTTCTGTCTTTGGAAAAACAGACCCGTACAGTGAGTAGATTATCACGAAAACCACAATTGCTATTGATTTTACTTAACATTGTTGCATTAACTTTAAGTATATTGTCACTCTTTTTACAGGCTTCTGATATGGTGTCTACATCCCGAATCTTGGTTGCAGTAGTGAAGATGTGCTATGAGGCAAAAGAATGGGATTTACTAAATGAAAATATTATGCTTTTGTCAAAAAGGAGGAGTCAGTTAAAACAAGTGAGTACATGATTTCTCAACAGATATATCCCCATGTAAATACAGAGGTTGTAGAAAACTATTCTATGCATCTATTTAATTATTTTGTTGACTCAATACTGAAGTTTTCCAGAGGCTTTAGTCTACTCTGAGCTCTTACACAAGTCACAATCAAAAGTTAGAAAAAGAAAATTTTTTCTTCAAGGAGCAAAGAAAGCTTTCAGGTGGAATTTAGAAACCTATGTTTTCATAATACTGCACTGTTTTTATTTCTGTTTTTTCTTATAATTTTTATAGACTTGTGTGTTTTTACAAAAATACAAATATATCATCTTTATGAGTTTGTGCATACTTAATGTTGCTGCAGCTTTGTTCTAGTTCCACCTGGCATTACTAACATACTTGTCATTTGAAACAATTGTATTGTGATCTTGCCACACTGATAATCTGTTATTTAATTATCTCTTTTATTAAACATTTAATACCAACTCATTTTTTAGGCCATTGTTAAATAGACTACTTGCTCATTTTGTTTTAAATTCTTTAAATTCTCTTGGTGGTTTTGTTCATCTGAATTTTCTCATGTTTCCTTGTTCTTCTTGAAATATATTTAGGTAATCTGCTATAAAAGTCAAAGATGCACCTTTTCACATTTATATTTCAGCTTTAAAATACCCTTCCTTAAGTTTCTGTACATTTTTTTGGTTTTGTATTTTGCTATCAAGTGGTAACAGGAATACCATTTTAAAGAAATAGGGTAATTGTGGAATTAAGACAAGAAATTCAAGTTTCTGCCCTAAATCCTTATTTTATTGAACGGGTTGCTGCTTGGATGAACTTTTTTTTCTAGACAAATACATAAAATACAGTAATATTAAGAATGAACTTAAAAAAAAAAAAAGAATGAACTTAATTTAGGCATGGCCCACAGCAAGTTTAGCTGCTGTCCCAGAGCGGTACATCTCTGGCTGTTCAAATCCGTTATCAGCTCTTCAGGAGAAAAATGGGCAGTCTCCTTCCGCGTGATTTACAGCCTCCCTAAAACCCGCTGCAGTGTCAGCACAGAGTTAGTTCTGGCTTAATAGCAGTGAGTTTCAGTTTGAATGCTCAGGCCTATCGTTAGAGAGACTGTCATGTAAATCTGCTTTGCTAAGAGACTCCCTTGTTATGGGACAATTTTGAAAGGACTACTTAATTAGAAGTCTTGGGCTCTAAAATAAACAAAAGTAATATATTTTATGTAGTATTGGGATAAACAAGCCACATATCCTAAATAAAAATTTCATTTCAAAGAATCATAAAGTTTTTAAGATAGGAGAGGGGACTATTAACTTTAATTCTGATCCTTTTCATGTGGAGAAACTTGAAATTTACACATACATACAAGGCTCTTAGAGTAAGAAGAAATGTGCAAAACGATAGCTCATCTCCTCTAGTAAAGAGTCTAAATCACAATCAGCACACCTTTAACAAATGCCCTTAAGATTTATGAAATCCTGGAAGATGCAGACATTATCTGCTCACTGACCAAACTAAAAGTTGGTGATTCAAACCTACCCTGTGGCATTTAGTAGAAAAGGCCTGAAAATTTGCTTCTGTGAAGACTCCAGTGCAAAAAGCTCTCTGGAGCAGTTTTGCTCTGTAACATGGGCCTTCATGAGTCAGAATACACTTGACAGCAATGGATTAAAGGAACCAGTTAGAGAAATATGCACACTACAATATCTGTGAAGTAAGTATCATGGAAATAATTCTGTTTATTATGAGTAAAAAAGTTGTTGTTGTTATTATTGTTGTTAAGTGCCATAGAGTCATAGACAACCCATGGCAACCCTGTGAACGAAAGTCTTAAGCTTTTTTTTTAAGAGGTAGATGCCTCTCCTGTTTCCAAATCATAAAAAGGTATCATTAAAAATTTCTGTATCCAGAACTAGATAAGGAAAGACAATAATATTTATTAAGTAGACTTCTTAGGAAATGTGAGATTAGACATGATTAGCAATTGTACCACTGGAGCTGGCTAATAGCAAAACCAGAAATAGAACCAGGTCTGTTCCTTTAACTATACTAAAAACCCACAAAGTCATTGTTCTCGAGTTATAAATGACCCTCTAGTGTGTTTCCAAAGCTGTAAATCACTTAGGAGAAGATTGCCCATCTTTCTCTCTCAGAGTAGCTGGGGGATTCGAACCACCTGAGACATATATAGCCTTTGGGTTAGCAGTGCAACTGCCTACAGACTTGGCCACCAGAACACTGATACTACATCTTAGCTATAGAAGTGCTTGGTGTTGGGTGACTTAGAGAAGTCCTTATTCATAACAACCTTGTGTACAACAGAATAAAACATGACTCCACTCTGCACCATTTTCGTATTTTTTAGTCCATTGTTGCAGTATTGTCAGTCTGTCTCATTGAGAGCCTTCCTCTTTTTTGCCGACTTTCTTCTCTGATGTCCTTTTCCAAGAACTGATCCCTCTTGAGAATGTGTCTAAAGTCTGTGAGACAAGGGCTCACCCTTCTAGTAGTTTCTAAGGAGCATTCTGGCCATACCTCTTCCAGGACAAAAGTGTTCATCATTCTGGCAGTCTAGTCATTATTCTGCACCAACACCATAATTCAGAGATGTCTGTTCTTCAGTCTTCCTTACTCATTGTCTAGCTTTTCTATGCATATGAGGTGATTTTTTTTTTCTAATTTTTTTTAAATTTTATTGTTTTTGTGTGAGTGTACCGTCAAATCAGATCTGACTGATACAGGAGGAGATTGTCCTTCCTTCCCCAGCAGAGCATCTGGTGGATTCGAACCGTGCGCCTCTGGGATTGTAGTTGCAACTCCTTGCCACTAGGCCACCAGAGCTCCCTGAGGTGATTTTTTTGAAACACGACGGCTTGGGTCAGGTTTACCTTAGTCCTCAAAATGACATCTTTGCTTTTAACACTGCAAAGAAGTCTTTTGCAACAGATTTGCCCAATGCAATATGATTTGTTGTTTAACGTTGGGTTTTTTTAACTGCTCCTTTTATGGGTGTTAAGTGCAGAAATGAAACATTGATGATGTCGGTATTTTACCATTTATCATAATGCTACTTACTAGACCATTGTGAGGATTTTTGTTTACGTTAAGGTGTAATCTGTGCTGAAGACTAGAGTTTCTGATCTTCCTGCACAGGTACTTCAAGTTCTGTTGGGGGTCTCTAAATGTCCTTTTTCCCTTCTTTTAATCCTTTCAAAGACACTACTCTTTTGACACCCCCCCAAAAAAAATCTGTCTTACTTTAGCAAACTTAGAAAGTAATGATTGTCTATAAACCATTTCCAAATTGATGGTTTCTGATTCCCTGTCACTTGAGCCCAGGAGATAATCTTCACTCCAACAATAACTTGCTTCTCTGATTTTTTTCCCCTCCATAAGAAAGCAGCAATATTCTCATTAGAATATTGATTTGGGTTTAGGGTAGGGCGTGTTTTTACCCTGAGTGATTGTGTTAATGTATTTTTTGTATTTAGACTTATCAGGTTGATGCCCTTTTAGAAATCAATTATAATTTCTTTTCGAAGGGTCGTATTTTGTGAAGTAATGGATGTCTTTGAACTTTATCAGAAGAGTTATTATTTACAGTAAAACTTTGGCTTTTAGAAATTTGTGTGTCTTTGAACAGCTAGCTTTTCATGTAGTTAGAAGTTTTACCTGAACTATTTGAATATGAAATGATTTTGTGAAAATCTCTACAAGACCATCTATTTATTTCTATCTTAAAAGGAACCCTGGTAGCCTAATGCCTGACATGTTTGAATCTGCCTCTTGCTCTCCTGTAGAGATTACTGCCTTAGAAAGCAGAATTGACTCGATTGACTTGTTTTTTGGTTTGTTATGATAAACAAAATATACTTAATATAATATGATGACTGAGGGTTCTAATCCTAGTTATCAGTGGCTACGATAGTCTGTTTAGACTCTAAATTGTCAAAACTCTCTGTTGCAAGTCCATTCTGACTTCTAGCAACCTTGTACAAACTACATAGTAAGAATCTAAGCTGGATCTTGGCAGAAGTATAGTTTATAGACCAAATTTGCTTGATACTTATTTTTTTAATTTATTATTTTTGTGTGTGTACCATCAAATCAGATCTGACTGGTATAGGAGGAGATTGTGCCTCCTTCTCCAGCAGAGCATCTGGTGGATTTGAACCACATACCTCTGTGATTGCAGTGCAGTTTCCTGCCTCTAGGCCACCAGAGCTCCTTGATACTTATTTTTTAGAAATAAAGTTTTGAAAACCCTAAGTCTCTGTAAACTTTCATTAAAATTAATTAAAAAGGGGTTTTTTTATTATTATTAATTTTAATGAAAGTTTACAGAGACTTAGGGTTCTAGTCATTTATTGTTGCACTTTTCTCCCTGTCCACCCCCTCCCCCCCAAGAAATAAAGTTTTGCGGGAACAAAGCAAAGCTCAGTTGTTTATATATGGTTTAACAACCATGTTATCACATTACGGTAGCAGCTATGAATAATTGCCACTAAAACCATATTGCTTGCCAAGCTTAAATTAGTATTTTGTGGAATGTCAAAGCTGGAGGGAACTTATTCTGGATGTAGCCCAGTCCAATTAGATTACTTACTAGAAAACTGAGAAGCTGTGGCTTTAAGTGTCACATCTTGTTGAGGTGAACATGAGTGACTGGCTTCTCTTACCTCCCTAGATGAGCGGACTGTTTTATCTCCAGCTTCTGCTACTCATTCTTGTCGGTCATGGTATCTGCTGCTCATGACTTCACTGCATTCACAGCCACTCTTGAATTCTGCTTTTATCTTCCCCGTCTTTTCTCCGTTAGTGTGCCACCACGTCTTTCATTCTTTTCTGCTTGGCTGCCCAAATACTGTCTGGCCTTCTATTGGTTTGTCAGTCAGACTTCGGTGTAATCAGCACTCCAGTTGTAATGTGTGATGTAGAGACTTTGAATCTGAAGTGTTCCTGACCTTTATTGATTTGCATCTGGGTATTCAGGATTACTTAAATCTTTGGGAGTATTTGATTCTTTAATTGACTTCTCATGCTTTTGCTTTTGCAAACCAAATTTGACAATAGTACTTTTGCCTTAAGATCTTTTTCATGTATGAGAAATAAATTTTACTTCCAGACTTGTTTTCATTTTTTTTAGGCTGTTGCAAAAATGGTTCAGCAGTGCTGTACTTATGTTGAAGAAATCACAGACCTCCCAATCAAACTTCGATTGATTGATACTCTACGAATGGTTACAGAAGGAAAGGTAATTTTTGGTTGACATAACTGAAAATGATCAGTATTCTTTTCTATAGACATATATGTGTGGTATGTTTAAATACATATATGTTATATATATTTTTAAGAAGATATGCACAGTATAGTACATTAATTTCATCAATAGTCTTTGCATAGATCCTTTTAGTATCTTCCTATATGCAAATATCAGTGCTTACATAATGACAGTTTTGTTACCTGTTTGTTTTTTGGGTTGTTTTTAGGAATCAGTAGTCTTATTCCTAATTTAGGGAGCACTAAGAGGCAGTCGTCAGAACAGAGCAGGGAGACACTACATGGTTCAGAATCAAGAAGGGGGTCCGTCAGGGATGTACTCTGTCTCCATACCTTTTCAATCTGTATGCAGAACAGATCATCCGAGACACTGGGCTATACAAGGAGGAATGTGGCATCAGGATTGGTGGAAGAGTCATCAACAACCTGCGTTATGCAGATGATAAAACCCTGCTTGCTGAAACTAAGGAGGACCTGAAGCACTTGCTGCAGAAGGTCAAGGACTGCAGCCTCCTATATGGATTGAAGCTCAACATCAAAAAAACAAAGATTTTCACCACAGTATGGATGGTGAAGAGATTGAGATAGTTAACAGTTTTAGTTTACTTGGCTCCACAGTCAATACTCTTGGTGACAGCAGCCAGGAAATCAAGAGACGAATTGCATTGGGAAAGTCAGCTGTGAGGGACCTCTCAAGAGTACTGAAGAGCAACGATGTCAGGCTGGAGAGTAAGGTGCGCCTGATCCAGGCTATAGTCTTTGCAATTGTCTCTTTGAGTCTTAGTTCAGTCATGTTCATTGAACACTTTGTTATACTAACTCCATAATGAACAAAGTTTCTCTCTTCAAAGAGATGAATGTATTGGGAGACAAGCTCACATAAATTAGTAGTGTGTGTGAGCTGCCACAACACAGCAGTGTGCCTTCACAGTGTGCCTGCACTTCCTGTCTAGCACAGAGTTTACTGACTCAGATGCCTTGGGAATCATCAAAGAGCAGATGATGGCTTAGATAGCGTTTAAAGAATTAATAACAGTCCTGTTGGACCAGAGAGTGAGCATTCAAGAAAGCAAATACTACATTCACAGGCTGCTGCCAAAGAACCTCTGTAAAGTACCAAAGAGCAAAGATGTTACTTTGAAGGCTAAGGAGCATCTGACCCAGATTTCTTCAGTAGGCCTGTGAAAGTTCGATGAAGAATAAGGAAGATCAAGGAAGAATTTATGCCTTTGAATTGCGGTATTAGTAAAGAATATTGAATATGCCACGGGCTACCGCAAGAACAAGCACGTATCGTGGAAGAAGTGCAGCCATAAAGTTCATGAGAAGCAAGGGTTCGGGAGCTCTGGTGGCCTAGTGGCAAGAAGTTGCACTGCAATCCCAAAGGTACACAGTTCAAATCCACCAGATGCTCTGTTGGAGAAGGAGGGGCAGTCTCCTCCTGTACCAGTCAGATCTGATTTGACAGTACACACACACACACAATAATAAAATTTTAAAAACAAATTAAAAAAATAAGAAGAAGCACGGATGGTGAAACTTCGTCTCACGTGCTTTTAACATGTTATCTGGAGGGGTCATTCCAAGGAGAAGGACAGCATGCTTGAAAAGTTGAGGGTAAGCGAAAGAGAGGAATATATTCAGCGAGTTGGATTGACACAGTGACCGTAGCTGTGGGTTTAACCATGGAGAGGTTATGAAGATAGTGCAGGATCGATGAGGGCTTTGCTCTGCTGTCTGTAGGGTCGCTGGGAGGCAGAGTGGGCATGTGATGGCAACCACAGGGTGAGGATAAGGACATTTTTTATATTGCTGTTAGAAACCATAGAGCTGGCTCTGAGATGTGATGACCTTTTATATATAAAAGAATCAAATGCTGCCCAGTCCTGCATTATCTCCACAATCATTGCCTATGTGTGAGCCCATTGATGTGGCTGGCCACTGTGTGTCTGTCTTATTGAGGGTTTCCTTCTTTTTCTCTGACTCTACCAAACATAATCCTTTTCTCCTGTATGATTGGTGTCTCGTGATGGCATATCCAAAGTAAGTAAGACAAACACTTTTTAAATAGGAAATTAAAGACAAAGATACTAAAGTAGGAAACTGTGTGTGTGTTTAGAAAATTATTTTGTTAGCTCCATCAAGTTTGTTTTGATTCCTGGCAATCTTGAGAATACAGTAACAAACCTTGCCAGGTTCTGTACCATCCTCCTGATTGCATGACTCACATCTTTGAGCCCACTGTTGCTACTATGGTGTTAGTTTCACTTATTGAGGGTGTCCTTGGCTTTTGCTGACTCAGCTTTCTCAGACATGATGTCCTTTTCTAGTGATTGGTATTTTCTAGTGACATATCCAAAATTAGCAAGGCAAAAACCTCACCATCCTTGTTTCTTCAGTATACTTTAGGGAACTACATAGGACTTTGGGTTATTGGAAATTAAGATTTATGTTGTTGGCATTATTTAAGAAAGTTACTTTTTTGTAAGAAAGTGGTTTGGTTTTTTAAAAAAAATTTTATTATTTGTGTGTGTGTGTGTATGTACTGTCAAATCGGATATGACTGGTACAGGAGATTGCCCTTCCTTCTCCAGCAGACTATCTGGTGGATTTGAGCTACATACCTTTGGGAGAAAGTTACTTTTAAAAAGTTACTTTGTGTTTAAAGATCAACAAGAGTTAGATTATTGGTTGAATCATGACTATTAAACTATACATGCTTACTGTAGAATGTGTTACTATTGAAAGAACATTTTTTACACATGTTGTATATATTTTCATATATACTGGGGGAGAATTTTTTTTTAATAAGTTTTAGAAAACATTTCAGAGCTTCTTATTTGTCAGATTAAGGGCACAGGAGCTGCAAGATAAAATACTGTTACATTTGAGTGGTAGTTCAATTCTCCCTTTCTGATTTTCATCTATTTTCCACAAGCATTTTGATAATGTAATTTTTGCTCATTTGTAGATTTATGTTGAAATTGAGCGCGCTCGACTGACTAAAACATTAGCATCTATAAAAGAGCAGAATGGTGACGTGAAAGAGGCAGCCTCTATCCTGCAGGAGCTCCAGGTAAGGGGTTGGGGTTGGCACTTACTGAACTGTGACTGCTTTTGGAAAGAGCCCAGTTTGGATTCTAAACTACTAAGAGTAAGAATATGCACAATACGAGACTTGTTTCCTCTTCCTGGGAATTTGCCTTTCTATCCTAGATACATTGAATCTGAATCTACCATTTAATGAGAATCTCTTCCTGTATTCGTAGGAATCGCCTGAGGATCTTGTTAATTAAAGATCCTGATTTGGTACATTTGAGGTGGAAATTCAAATTCTTAGCAGGTAGTTATTGACTCAAAGTGGACCACTTCTTAGAAGTGTGACATATATTGTGTTATATCTGCGAATTTTAAAATCTAGCAAAATGTAACTCCTAAAAAGTTATCACAAAAAGGATTAATGTATTTGTCTTGATTTTATGTCCTTATTTGAATATTTTCATTCTCTTTAGAATCCAGATAAAAAAGGTTACTATTTACTTCTGCCTCAGGATGCTGTGAATCACTGACTTCATTCTGAATGAATATGTAATTGGTAGTTTATTTCTTGGCTAAATTGATACCATAAAGAAAAATTGCCTTATAATTTTTTTTTT